TTTTAAACGCAGCAATAGTAGTGACATTGCAAATTTGAATTGGTAATTTATTTCATAACAATGGTGCATGTTTATATAATGGCCGGTTACCATATGATGATAAAATATAAGGGCGTGATATAAATAATGATGTCTTAGTAGGGGATTGCAGATTTATTGTGAGTTTATAGTAATCAAGAAGTTCAGAAAGATATATATGCTCTATTTCCGCACTCTCTGTTTTGTGTGTTTTGCTTGGCAGGTATCGTGGCGAATAAATTATTAGTCTTGACGTTTTAGAAATAAAATTGACGGCAGTATTTGATATAACTGATCCATTAACCACTTTACAGTACACCCAAAGAACAAGTATAGCGGGCGTCTTTTAATGTCACCATTTCTCTACAAATCGAAACAAATAAGAGCGTCGAAAACAATCTATTGCTAAAATGGAGGGGGGTGGGGCTGTTTTATGCCCATGAGTTGTGGCAAGCGAGCGACTAAAGGGTAAACTAGTATATCTGATCTGATCATAACTACATGGAGACAGAATCAGGGTAAAAATTTCGTAGAGGAATCTATCTTCGTGCTTCCTGTGCCCCTGATGTCAACTGTTTCATCACTACTAATCATTCATGAAACACATTGTATAAGTGCAACGATTGTATTTCTTGTGAGCTAGGTTTAGGTCTATCGAACCCCTCCCCCCCCCCCCCATTACGGGTCAGAATAATCTATGAATATCTATGGATCAAAATGAACGATTCTTAAAATGATTTATTCTTCTGATCCCCTATTTATATAACCGTTTAGCTACTCAGTGTGCTCTTTTTCCCGGCACAAACAATCGTCATAGGTAACGAGATGTAAACAGGGCTAGCACTAATCCCAATCCTAACCCTCGACCTAACCCCAATGCTTACCCTAACCTACAATCTCGCCAACAATCACGTACCCTAACCTTATTTACATCTCAACTACCCTGACAAAAATTGAGCTGGCCTTAACAGATAGATTTAGCCGCAGACATGGATTTTGTTTTTATATAAATTTCAATCATTGCTGGTCTATAATGTTATTTTTTTAGCTCATAAGAAATATACTTTTGGCTTAAAATGGGTTTCCAGGTTGCACTTATAGTTGACTTGATTAACCTCGTAGACTTGATTAACTTCGTTGACTTGATAAACCTCGTTGACTTGATTGACCTTGTTAACTTCATTAACTCCGGGGAAACATATTATTTTATCACCTACCATCGTAGGTTTGTTTTCGGTTTGTTTAATCTACCTTGGCACCGTCATTTTTAAGTATCATTACAGCCCCGTTAATTAGAGAAGATTCACAATATATCATATCCACCAATGATAGCTCAAGTAAGAAAATGAATAAGACGGCGGATCCTGGGGAATATTTTATAAAACAGGCAACCAAATAAAACAAAAGTCTTGCAAATCGTGTTCAATGATTATACAAATCTTGCCGTATACAACTAAGTGTTGTATTTTAGCCGATGATTGGCAGCTAAAAACTAAATAGAAACTTAAGATCTTCTGAATATTGCAAAGAACTTTATGGAACACAAAAAAACATGTATCTGGCTAATCCGACACAAGAGGTATGGACTGTATCTTCAGCTAATACTAACGACGTATTTGAACCAATTTATAACATGGAAATTGAAATAGAAGTAAATACAAACAATCTGATTAAAACACAGATCCTATTTCCTTTCGTTTTTTATAGTTCAAAATTTCGATTTACTTGTCTTCACAACACTAGGATCGGAAAAGTTGTTATATAACAGGCGTTCTAGTTGATGTGAGGAATCAGTCAATGAAACGGTCTGTTACGGCGAGTTCTTCGCGTTCTCTGCACGGAACTGTGGGTAAACCCCTTGAAACGTCAACGCTGATTGATTCATCGATGTCTGACGCCATAGGGTCAAAAGCCGCTATAATCCCTGACGTGACCTCCCAGTACAAATGACCAGATCTTCATGTAGTGTAGGCCATTAACTATATTGTATTATATGTATCCTTACAATTTTATTTGCATAAAATGCTATGGCTTCGGTCAGATTTTTACAAACAGAAATATATCGTACCGAGCCAACCAGTTACAAAAGCAACGACAAGTGAACTTTTTATATAATACTTAAATTTTAAAGATACACCATCCTTTTCTGTTGCAATATGCAGCTCATAATTCGCGCATTACGCCGTAAACGTTTATAATTATACATTAGGAATTATTTTCAGAGCCCCTCCAGCAAGTCAAAGTTTTGAATGAAAACAATAACGTAATGCATTTTCAATATAGATTCTTTAATGTCAATTTGATGTAAATGTACTCAGGAACATTAGAAGTGTATTCGATTTCCTCTTACTTTCAAAGATCGACAACCCAATGATCTTAGTTTCTATGGAGGTACCAAGTGATTCGATTGTGTAGTATATCAAGACAAGTCCGTTCCGGCAACCGCAGGTACAGTACTATTTACGTGATGATTCATGGAGAGAACTTCAAATCAATTATCTGTTCTCAACTGGACCGAAAGATGAACTTGGCTTCCAGCTTTTCATTTCAAATTTCTTTACACACATCCTACACATTGTCAGTGTGCAACACGAGGGGTTCTCTTTAGCAGGCAAACTTGCAATTTAATGCGACAATAGACAAGCATGTAATTAAAATTTTGCTGAAAACTTAACTCTCTTGTTTAAGAAATGAGATTCTAAAATGAAATCGTACTGTATTTAATGTTCTTCTAAATGGCACGACTTCATTTTGAAAATGAATTACACAAAATTGATAAAGATATATCTAAATTGTGTTAATGGAAATGTCACACCAGGTAATGGATAGGTAATTTAAAACATTTATTTCTTGTGACATAACATCTTTTTTTTTAAAATAAAGTCGCCGTTGACTTATGTACTAAAGGGTGGAATTGTCAGAGTTAGGTTGTCCAGGATCCACGAAGTGGTTCTCTCTCTATTTCGGTTAAACATCGATATGGACAACCAATATAGTTAAGTTTTATATCGTGCCCCCCCCCGCCCCATAGTTTAGCGTGCTCTTTCGTGCTTGTTTGTTTATTTGTTTGTTTGTTTGCTATTCATTCTATTCAGATGGCACTCCATAGGACTGACACTATAACTTGCCTTATTTTATTACTCTCACGAGTCTCACATGTGTTTCGTGTTTCGGATTACTTCAATTAAAGGAGCTAAGTATTATTTGAATTTAAAAACACCAATTAGAATAAAATATTGGGCCTTTTCAATCAATATTGGGGCTAAATTGTTCAAGTGGCATTTAGTAACTGGATGAGAATAACACATGACACAATTATATGGAATACAAGTTACTTGAACGATCGAAACGTCGCTGAAATAAACCCTTCAAGTAACTTGTATACGACATAATTGTACCATGTGTTATAATATTAAGGTTGTTATCTTCTCGTGAAAATATGGGATCCTAATCTGTACTAATATTTGTGACTGTCGTTTGTCTGTTTGTCTGTCTGTTCGGGGTTGGCGGCTACACTAGGTCTGCCCCGAGTCTGAAATTTGGGGTATATTGGTAGCTCGGACCGGGGAGTAACATAGGCCAGGTGGCATTAGTCTGCCACTTCCGGTTTCGGAGTTATGATCCCCGAGCGAAGCGGGGTTGGCGGCTACACTAGGTCTGCCCCGAGTCTGAAATTTGGAGTATAGGGGTAGCTCCGACCGGGGAGTAACATAGGCCAGGTGGTGTTAGTCTACCACTTCCGGTTTTGGAGTTATGACCCCCGAGCGAAGCCGGGTATCCTGCTAGTAACCAATATTTAAGACCCACTACACGAGTCGTGTAATCTATGGTTTCGGGTGCCATTTGTAAAGAAGAATGAAAAACAAAATGCGAAATTAATTAATAATGGCTGATTTACAAAGAATAAAACAATAATTTTAAAACAAAACAAAAAAAAAACATGTAAAATTGACTCGGCTGTCGTTGTTCACGTATTTCACCGCACATAGTTGATTCCAAATTACAATATTATTCTTTTATGAAATCGAATATAAATCAGTTTATATACATTCAGTTTACATTATTATGTGTTATAGACCCATTTTCGTCTATTTTAAGATACCAGAGATTAGAGCCATACGTCCTTTTTAATTTACATATTAGTTTTCGCGCAAACACATGCTATCCTGTCATTTATATACCCCTGCCTCACCCCACACCCGATCCACCCAACAGTTATCATTTAAAGCGCTTTCTGTATTATCCCACATTATGGTGGTATTTTGCACCATCCCAAGTTTACATGAAGGTTGCAGTTTTTACGACCTTACGCCATGCTGAGCACATTCAATATTATTTGTATAAACATACACTTTCAGATTGAAATAAAGAATGCAAGTTATATAATTAGTCCTAAAATAATTCGAACGGCACTTTAAAATATGAATGGAAGGACAAGAAGATTCTCAGAACTATATACATCCCGAAAGTTCTTGCCTTTCTGATTGTTACTTTGGGCTCTGGGAATACAAAAATGATGTATGAAGAAAGTCTTATAGAAAACTTGAAAATTGTAAATTTATAATACCTTTAGTTCATGTTCTCCAAAACATGTTATAAACAATTAAAGAAAGACATATCCTACGCGCCTAATTAGGCCCAGGTGTTCAGATTTGAACAATTTGTGTCAGACAACAGAGATGTCTTTTTAATTAGTGTAAAAAAATCAATCTACTTCAGTCAGGATACGTATTTTTATTAATTTGTGCTCGTAAAAATTAATACTTCGCGTCTCCCATTCACTGTTATCAAAACAGTTTTTGCCGTCTCATTGCGAATAAAATGTGTAACTTACTAAACCCATACGCTCTACACAAATATAAGTTTATGTCTAAACGCACCATAAATTCTTTATTGCAGTAAACATATCCGTACTTATTAATGATTTATGAAAGGGTAAGTCTACTCGAGAGAACGTAAAGTAAATAATTATAATACGTTACCTGAAAACATTGGGTAGGTTTTACTGCAAGCGATCCGACAGAAAACGACCAAAATCCAAAGAGAAATATACAAGTCTTTCATGTTTCAATTGTTGTTGATGTTCGTTACTTCTTTTATTCAGTGGCGACTTTTTTTTATCGAGATGCAAATATATTACACTTAAGAATATAAACTGTATTATGTCCTGGCTAAAACTTCTTGACTTCTGTTTGGATTTCCAAATTTCTATCCAAATATATTCAGGAGACGATTAGGCACTGTCTATTGTTCTTTTATGAAAACTTAAATACGTTATCCATACACCATAAGCCGTTGTTTAGTGTATTACCGTTCTCTGTGCCGACAACAATAAATCTATGCCAAAAGTTTCGTGAGTGTTCATAAAGCGGGCTCTTGAAAATAGGTGGGTGACGATTGGCGTGGACAAAAGATCTTCCCGCGCTTGCCATCAACACCGGAACTGAGCCATCGTGCTGATCACAGTTGCTGAATTCCAAACACGACGTTTAAGCTTCCGATCTTGTTTCACTACTGAAGAAAGAAATAAATGTTTGAAACAGACTGTGCATGAAGTTTATAACTGATGAGCGACAGTCATGTAGAAAAGCTATTTAAGGAGAAGGCAATGGCTTTATCGTCTTGGAACTCACATATTTATATTAGAATGTTTTTCAGTGTATCATAGCATTTTATCGATTTTAAACTATCTTTGGTTATAGCTCAACAATAAATACACTTTGTAGTATTGTTATTTGCATAATTAACAATTAGTTCAAAGCCTAAAGCTAACAAGAAATTCTATCAATTGATGATGTTTACGCTTGAATGAATAAAGTATTCAAATAATCCCATTGAAACAACTTTGATTTCGGAATATCCTCATTAGTCCGCATAGAGACTTTATTTATTTTATGTTATTTGTTTGTGTAGAGGTTTTAAGTGTTTTATATTTTCAGTTCGATAGGAAACGTCAAGAGGCAATCAACAATGTGAAACACAGAAGTATTAATTAGTGTATTAACAACGACTTTTCGTTCATATCTAACATTTTTCTCAATTTCCCGCTATGTTTAGCTTAATATATTTGCATCTCGATAAAAAAAAGTCGTCACTGAATAAAAGAAGTAACGAATATCAACAACAATTGAAACATGAAAGACTTGTATATTTCTCTTTGGATTTTGGTCGTTTTCTGTTGGATCGCTTGCAGTAAAACCTACCCAATGTTTTCAGGTGTAATAATGCCATTATTTTGCATACTATCACTGTACAAGAAACAAAACATTAAGCGGAGTCTTGTGTTTGAATTATGAGTAATAGTAAATTACCTAAATATCGATTAATAAAACAACAACAAAATTTTTATTTTGTTAGGTGTGAATATCTTTCTGGTTTATTACATGAAGATCTAACGGCTTTTTATAGTAAGCTTTTAAATCTGATTTAAAGGGGTGTTACCAGATATCACAGTGTATTGTGGTTTCAATTTTGCAAATGTATCAGTATGGGTCTTAACCTGAACCCCCACCGCCCATCCCCACCACCAACTTAACCTGATGTTCAGGTCAGCTAAATGGATTACAATTTGGAAGACATATAGACCTCAATCAAATTTATAACATTCCTTTAGTTTTTATCTACAAACATTCAGATCATGGAAGCTTTCCCATTTTTTAACACTACCCCTTAGGGGTTAACACTGTATGGAAGTCAAAAGTTTAACAAAGAGCATGTCATTTTTTCACATACTATTGTTATTCCTTTGCATACCACTGGTACCACTATATATCCGGGATTCATCAAGTTATCGAAGCGGGATAAGTTAAAGCAATGTTGAAATTTGATTCCGGTAACACTAGTGTTATCTGAGCCTTTTTCTGGTAATGATATCTGCAGTTGCAAAAAAATGAAACTGCAGTCATTTCCCTTCTAGCTGATCCCTTTATTTGAGGTCAAAAGTTAGTATTTCGGTTACACTAGCGTTACGTTACGTCAAAATACTCACTCTTATACCATCTTTCACCTTACTCTTTTAATCTCTTTCAGGAAATTTCGGTGTTCAATAATACCTCATAATGTCGATAATCCGTGATAACACAGGAAAGTATACAGAAATAATCATCCAGGCACTTGCAGAGTGTGGCAATAAAATGAAAAGAGTTACCGAGTGTGGAATTTGATCATTTCAGTCATTCCTATCCAAATGTTACGCTAAAATTACAAAAGAAATCAATGAAAAACACAGTAAACAAAACTTGAAAAAAACGAAACGAATTTACAAAGCGAAGAAGCATCGGCATATTTGTCTCTTTTTTTCACCTTTCCGAAGGGCGTGCATAGAGGGAACGTGAAATCGAAAACACAGATAATACAAACAATAATGTCGGCAGACGACACTGTCGAGTCCTTGAATCCATCGGGGTTGGTAGTGAAGTTGTAGATCTCGGACGAAACGACGAAAGGCTTCTCCGTAGACATCAGTGGGGGGGGGGGGGCAGTCGTAGGAATCGAAGAAGGTAACGTGATCTGGTCCTTCGCACACAAACACGGTCCGATGTCTACACGGTTGGTCTTCGTCGTCCGTGTTGATGCCGTAGGCTTTGGGGTACAAGATCGGGCACAATATATCCAGGTGATTACGAGCCCACGCACCCCCGAAAACGCTAGAGGGGGGATGTTTTTCTAAAGATCTTGTCAGTTGTCGGTAGGAGAGAGCCTCACCAATCCGCGATAACTTGTCGGCTGGCGTCGATTTCCAAGATATTGTCGTATTCGGCAAACAGAACAAGACTGAGGTGATTTGTCGAGACCGCACCGAACTTGAGTTCCCTATAGACAGGTTACCTGTCGCTTTGGGATGAAAGTAGTTACCATCGGATCCGTGGTCGTTGTTCAAATCGAAACAATACAAGGTGCACCCATTGATATAGTCGTTGAAAGGGAAGTTCAGGTTTTCATTGGTGTTTATAAGCCGTCACCCTTTTCATCAAATCCAGGTAGGGTGCAATGGCTTGTCGCTGGAGAAAGTTCACGTCGTATTCGTCCATGATTTCCTCATTGTTTTTCAGTTTCATGTTTTCCAATTGATTATGTTCGAATTGGAACGAATTTCTGTTTTCTTTATGTTTCTTTTTCCCTCCGTCGTAATCTCTTCGACAGGCTTTCGTTTACGAACAGATTGTCTAGGACGTAACTGGTGCGATTGTAGGGAATGGCCATGTCTCGGACCACCGCGCAATAAGGGGTACTTGGCGTTGAACGACTGAAGTTGCGCGGCCACGAGTGTGTAGGTACTCAGAGCCAGAGTGACGAAAGGGATATCTGGTAGGCTTTGGTGAATTCGACTTTGTACATCAGAAACAATTTCGAGAGAGTGGTTTTCCAATTTCAACCGCGGGTCCCGATCTCGTAGACACATGTTCAGGTGTAGAAGCGACTGCAGTTCAATGGTGCGACTGGCAGCGACGATTTTCTGACGTTATTCCAATCCTTTGTTATTTGGGACCTGACGTCCACCGTCCCCAGCGGTGGCGACGGATTTCGTGGAATCGAACTGACTGGCAGTGTCTTTTTCCCACAGGAGTTGTTTCGACAGGTGATCGTTCTTGGCTCCCGTGCCGAAACTTAACAAATTCTCCAAGTAAGCATGGTAGGGATAGTTCGGCAGATAGGTGGTGACCAGGGTTTCGGCATCTTTTCCCAGGCGTAATCTGACGTCTTTGAACGACGAATGAAACAGGTTGTTAATGGGTGCGACTGGACTGTCCGCATCCTGGCCACCACCGTCAATCGTGGTAATCTTCAGGGCCAAGTGCAGTGTCCTGTTGGCCAGATTGACGAAATTGGTAGTGGCATTGGAAATATAAAATTAGATGGGTCCATCAACTATGGAATCCATTGTGATGTGGGTGCCCTCATTCCAGGGCGAATCTGCCTTTGTACCGTGGGATCGATCGCGAAGATCCGGTGCCAGGGTCACGAACGTCGCCCCGGGAAGGTTCCAGGGTGGGTGTTTCCTCTGTGTATTCTTCGTGCGAGCCATCGTTACTGACAGAGTCAATTTGAGGTGTAGATTCCCTTTTATACTTTTTGGACGTAGACGATGGGCGATTCCTCTTGGGGTAAGATGTTGGATCTCAGTCGCAAGGCTTGAGGGCGTGTCGGGCTTCAAATAAATGAGTAAGTAACTTACAGGTACACTCGCCGCATTGGCATAAGCGTTCTGCATAATCTTGGAGCGGGAGGGATACATCTGACGGGACAACACATCAATTTGCGAGGCGTCGCGGGGATTTTTGAACAAGACAAAGTAATGGGCATTCAGGCTGATGGCACGCTGTTACACAATGTAAATGTCACTCGTGTCGTGGTGATGACTCTTTTTCGTGAACCACTTTTGCAATATCTCCATGTCTTCTCCCATCAAATCTTCCACAACCAAGACTTGTGGACCTTTGACTTGATCCATCACGTCGTCAATATCCCTCAAGCCTTTGACGTAAGTGTACGGAAAGCGATCGTAACTCTCTAGCCATTCCCCGTAAGCCCTCACAATGCGCTGGGGGGTGGGTTGTCGAAAAGAGCTGCTTGGAGAAACTTCTATACTCTGTACAAAGACCATCTTTCCAACACCCGTTGGGCCGTTGACTAACATGGTAAAGGGGTGTTTGAACGCCAGATCCATTTTGTACTGCCTCCCCGTACTATCCCATACTCTCTTTCTCTCTTTTCCCTGCCTTTTATACCTTCGAGCCCACCGCAGAACAACAGACATGGAGTGAAATAAGAACAGAGTTTAATTTACAAAAAATGCAAAAATAGCATAGTATTCAATACAAAAAAAGCATGGCATACAATACAAAAGGAAAAGAAAAATAAAACAAGGTGCAAGTGTTAGTTATCAGAATCTCTCTTCAGGATCTCTTGTCTCAAACAGGGTACATTTCTCAGGACGCGAGGAATCCAATACAGTTGTCCCAGAAGCTTCTGCATCGTTACCTGTGGGTTCCAATCTTTCACCCCGACAAACGTTACGACGAGGGGTATTCATTCACTCATATCGAAGGATGGGGGATACGACAAGACTTCGGTCATAACTCTCGGACCCGCATATTGGATGAGTGCTCAGAAAAACTTTCCGCTTCCTTCTCTGCCAACTAGAGGACAACTTGCCTCGGGGTTTCGCTGTTCGGGGATTTACTGTTCGTCGGGAGAATAATATAAGTTGGTGGAATGAAAAGCTTCGTCGGCTGTTTTCTTTTTCTCCTTGTATCGTCTGTAGAGCTTGAACGCTTCTCCACACCAGTGCCAGTATCGCTGACTACGGGTTTTGTCTCTGGGCATATATTTTTTTATTGGCAACGGCTTCAAAGTTGTCTTCGGTTTAGATTTCTTCTTGGCACTCCGTGTCAGAGCTGTCCAGAGTTGATTTTCGTCGGTGGGTCTCTTGACTCCCTAACACTTTCTTTAGACAGTTTCTTTTATTTCTTCGTCGCTCTTCGCTTTTTTGGGGGGCTTCGACTCATTTTCCACACTGGGGTGCCCAGTGT